CAAAACCGCCATTGTTTGAATAAAAGTTTTGTATATAACTGTCTACAACCAGTATTTGGCATGGGATTAGTGACAGCTCCTGGTAAGATATATTTAGACAAATAGAATACTTATTTAATTGTATAACTATAACTTATTTGTAACTAATAGATTTATATTAAGAAATGTTAACAATAAAGACTATCCTTTTATAATCATCTATTTATTACAATTTACAATGTAAAATAGAGAATGCAACATGAACGACATTATGACTGCACTTATTTTTATTTTGTATTTCACTTTAATTTCTAATAATCTTAATAAGTTTTTCTCTTCATATAAGATATTTTTGTTTGCACTTTGATAGCTACGCCACGAAGCTGTTAAGGTAGTATAGTCGCGAATTGAAAGTATTCAGAATGACTTGAATTTGAAATGATATATATTGTACTAGATGACGTTGACACGCTTGTGTAATTATAATGAGATTGACCATTTCAATACTGAGATAATTAAAAACTGTACATTTTATACGTGTCTACAAAATTCATAAAAATTTCGCGTTTATTTTTGTAGGGCCTAAATTAGTAATGAGATGTTAACAAAAAACGAATATGTGATAGAGGAACTTAAAACGGATATTATAAAAAAAAAATCACAATTTAGTTAGGAAAATAGAGTCACGAAAAGAACGCAATGTTTCGATTTTTTTTAGCATATGGTGGCGACTGAAGGGAGTGGTGGGGAGCAGAAGGGACAGTCAGCGGACATCTGGCAGTACTGGCATTTGGCTGCGTTTATCTGTATTCATTTTCTTTCCGCGTGTGCGGCCTTGGACAGGCACAATCGAAAGTTTTCTCTCTCTGGCGGAAGTGAAATATCGCCACCGAGTAGGAATGTGCGATTTCGATCCGATCTTTTAATCGATTCGCCAGTATCCGATTTCAAGGTAGATCGATTTATTTAGTAAGAGATCGATCGTTCTTCGAAGCGTAGGAGCGGATTCGGAAATACAAGATATATTTTGATATCATTTCATTCCTGTTGTTCACTGAATGTTGAACAAG